CTTTTTTAATATTAGAAGAATGGTGATATATAAACCAATAAGGTTTGCTAGACTTTTTCTTAACAATTAACAGTCAGGTCAGCATATGCGCAAAATAGTGTCTCTAAGCCAAAAGCTCAGGCCTCAGACTCATTTTCAAACAGTTTTTGCCTCTTTTAGCTATATTTGATAAAGAAAGATATATGTAATATATCTCAGAGACACAGCTCAGACTGTGTGAGCTCTGTGAGCACAGGAGCCTTATCCACCTGCAGACCAACCCTTTGTTTGACAAGGGAAGGCAATGAGAGGAAAGTTTACCTAAAGGGAGATGAAAGAAATCTTGTTTTATACTGTGGCTCAACTGGGGGACTGAAGAAGGGGCCAATATTAAAGAAATCAGAATTTCTTTGGACTATGAATCATGCAAAGCTTATCTGGTGGTAGTAGGAGTAAAAAAAAAAAAAAAACATTTGGAAATGAATTCCCACTTAAGTTTTTTTTTTCTGTTTTTATCTCCCTGGCAGGCATTAATAAGCAGATAGCTGTTGATGCTGTGTATATTCCTGTTGTTAGCTCCAGCGAGCCACAGGCTGTGGGCCTTCCTCAGGATCCACATGGCAACACGATGCTGTCCTGCCTTTCATCTGGTTTCCTCTGTCCTCTCAGCAACACTGCCAACAACAGCGAAGAGACTCTTCCCAGGCCAGGTAGTCACTATGGGGGAGACAACGTCCATTCAGGAAGCATTTGCCGACACATGCATCTTTTACACTTAATATTTAAAATGTGTGTTTTTTGGGGTTTTTTCCTGCAGAGGAAATCTTGGCAACTGCCAGTGAGCTTGAAGACACACATGTCGTGTGCATCCTTGACCTTTGTCACCTGGGTGGAGATAAGGTGGAAGTCATGATCAGCAAGGTGTACAGGCTGACGGAGGTTTCTCTTGACTAGAAGGTACACGAGAGCAAGCGCAGCATGTAAATATCAGCATTAATCATGTAACTTAACAGTTATTTAAAATAGAAGGAGCAATAGAAAGAGATTCCCTGTTATATGTACATTGAATGTTAAATAATTTATAACATTTTTTTTAATTACTTGAAGACTTGAAGTGTATATTTTTACCATTAAAACGTTTCCACAGGGAACAACTTTGTGGTGTGAAAATGAAAATTTGCCCTTATTTTTTCGACCAAGAACTCAAAGCTGATGAGAAATATCCCTCCTGATGGATAACTTTCTAAGCAAAACTCAGAATGACATGCATATGTTTAAAAATATTTATTTTGAAATATTTCACAATATTCAGGTTGATTTATTTTTTATAAATATTTCAGTATCATTATTAATATCAAGATATTTTCGAATGTAAACTTAATTTTTAAATTTCTTTTAAAACAATGTTAACAGTATCTTTTAAAGCTTATTTTGATGGTAAATACAGAAAGAAAATGAACCATACAAGTGACTGTGCAACACCAACTCGAACGCAAAATAAGCCTCACCTCCTCTAATAAGACACTTCATCTGTTACAAAATTACTTTAATTTTAAAATCATGTAACATACATATGTAATCTATTAGACATATAAAATAAACAACTATGTAGCCTAAAGTTTTGTTTTTTGTTTTTGCTTTTTTACATTCTATTATACAATATATTCAATGTTAGTTTCTGCACTGAAACTGCAGAAATGGCTGAATACCAGGTTTATTTTGTTCATGTCCTGGCAAATCTCACACAGAAAACATTGACCTGACTGCCCACTCTCACACTGAGGGTGTCAGTCATTATTTTACAGATCAGAAAAAAAAAGGAAAATACAAGTTAAATGTGATTAAATTCACATACCTTCAAAAACAGTGACACTCAATGGCAACATCCAGGAGGAAGAAGAGCATTGTGAAAGGTGCAGACATCAAAAGAAAAGGTAACTACTGTTGGGGAAAGCATTAAAACTTGACTAAAAGGAACAACAGTACTGACTGAGTGGATGGATTATTTACAACTTCAACAAAGCAATACACACCTACAAGGAAAAGGAAAAAAAAAACAACACAAAACATCGTCTCACATCCAGAGCAAAACCATCGCGATTGAGCACAGTGGCAATGAACAGCAGTTCCCTCAACTACCTCTGCAAGGCAAACAAGACAACAATTTTGTATAAAGACATGGATCGAAATATTTCCTGGATTCTGTAAAATTAACTCAAGGAAAGATTTTACTACCACCGTCTGAAAGTATGGTATTGATAACTATTGAATAATGAAAGAAAACAGCTATAGTTGTCTATGGCACCTCTGCACTGCTGAGTAACACCTTTACTGTTTCTTTGCCACACTTGTAGAAGCATAGACATGAATAAATGGAGAATGAAACTTGATTTTACCCATCAGAAGTATTTTGATAATCCTGTACAATTGCACTTTCCCCCCTTTTTTTTGGCTGAATTACTGTGTGAAGTCTGCACAGTTGGAGAGCTGTTTCTGCACCCCACAATAAGGATTCATCTTCTTTATTTAATCTCTTCGTTATTGTAAATGCATGATACTACAGAGCTTCTTTGTTAGGTTAGGCTCTCGTGTTTTACCTCCTGCTTGTGAGGAGCTACCACTCTGCACTACATTCCCATGCAGACAGACTATAAAGTGTGATCACTGCAGTCGTAGTGTATAGTGGACACCCTTTAAAGAAAGATACTGCTGATATAAACGGTTAAGGGAATGTTAGGGCATTTTCATTAAAAAAATATTTCCATATAAATTACATGGTACAGCGGCTTATTATACACCTCTATATACATCTGTTCTGAAACATTTAAAACTATAAATTAACATTCTTCTCTTCAGTTTGACATTGCACATAGAAAAGTGTAAAACGGCACTGAATGGACATGCTCAAAGTATTCTGACGGATGCTTCTTGTTATCCAACGTGAACAGCACCAGTACAGTAGCTTCAGCTTCGAGGTGTGGAGACCAAGCTGTCGTATCGAGCCGCACGGGCTGCTTTAAATAAAGTGTAGCACAGTGAGAATTTCAGGAAACGCAGAGCTGTACTGGGAACGCACAGCAGTTTGTGTGAGATTGTCATTAACAAGATAAGAGATGAATGAATGTTCTTTATGGAGTTTACTTTTGCAATGTGGTTCTACTGTTAATCTGTCTACACTGACGTACTCCATTCTCATCATTGTGAAGTCATCGTGTCAAAATCTGACAACACACCATGCGGATTTGCAACTTCAGCCAAAGGGCATGTTTACATTTAGCTTTAGATTTGAATTGATGGACACAGGACTGCAGTTGGACACGTCGCTGCAAAAGCACGGTAATATAAAAGGTTAGACGTAGGACTGCATAAAAAAGATTGGAACATCCTGGAATGGTGCCAGGACTGCTTTCCAGATCTGCAGACAGTTTCTCATGCATGAATACAATAAAGTGAAATGGGTGGCTTTTTTTAATGCAATAGAGGCTGCTGTACTTCCATGTCTGCATTTTTCAGACGCTAATAAATTGGGTCACGTGGTCACGGTTGGAGCGTACTTTGTTTTCCTTCCCAGACGTTCAAAGAGACAAAAATGGAATGAAAATGTCTTAGATTAATTAAACCTGTTTCAAAGATATTTAAACAGAGCTGTGCAGGTACAGCGTTGTTATATCACGGTATAACACGACAAGTGATGGTTAATAATGGCAATGGCCTTGTCACAGCAGACTAGAGAATCTCACCTGCATGTTTTTTATATTTATTGTTAAAAGTGAACCATTTTTTCTTTTTTTTAAACCAATATTTACATTGAAAATTGAAGTTTATTATGTAACCGATAATAATTGTGTAATAACCATGGAACGTGCGCTTCCTAAGACCATCATCATCTGGTGAAAATCCCAAATCTTTGCCACCCTGTATTCAAATCACCAAGCTTACACTCAACTTACACTGCATTGCTTTGTATTGTAAAACCAAAGCTGGCCCATACAGATGAATGGAGAACTGAAAACGGTTTGTGTGAAACTGTCATAGGGCAAGACACAAGGACCAGTGTTGACCTTTCAATGTCTAAAGCACAAACACAAACAGACAAAACTCAATTCAAACTTTTGTGTTTAAAAAAAAAAATTAAATTCCCATGTAGTGTTTCAATTATAAGTGTAATAAATAAAAATGAAATGATTTCATTAGGATTTCAAGAAATGGATAACTTGTGAATGAGACACTATCCTTACAGCCGGGGACCTTAATCTTCCAATATATATTTGTCATATATCCAATACAAATCTAGGCTTTTGTATTTAACTCTGATGCAGCAAAATAATAATCTATAACCTTATGAAAATATAACTTTGTATTCCAAATAGACCTGAGCTGGATTTTTAAAGCCATAATCAGACACAACCATCAAACTGCGCCATGGATGTACCACGGCTGAAGGCACATTATTTAAGCCACCCCCCCATTCACTCGGTAGGTTGGTTATCAAAAGAGGACTCATCCCGCACTGCTCATCAAAAGCACCAAAAATTTGTAACTTCAAATATCTGCTGTTGTCATTCGTTTTGAGGAAGTGGTGCAATAGCTGCAGCACCCCTTCTTCAGTCCCAGATTGAGGCTTTAAAAATCTAGATAGACCTTACTAAAAAACTGGAGAATTACTCTCTGAGCGTGGTCCTGTGACATCTTAGTATTTACCAACCCTGATTTTTGATATGATGGTCATCTTACCACTGCATGTTTCACCGTAAAGCCCCTGTCATGTGACCTACCATGAACATACCTTGTTTTGGGGACAATATGGGAGCCAACTGAAATGTAGAGTTCTCATGCACACAAATCCCATTGTGAGATTTGTCATTTTCACTCGAGTTATGTCGCCAATGGGAGGGGTGTTGAGAATCTCACCATTAGTTAATGAAATAAACAACTATTGGGCAAAAATAAATACTCTACTTTTGAGTAGGAGGTGGTACCTAAGTGTGAACAGACACTTAAAGGAAACTTTGTTAGACAAAAATGTTCCACGTGTAAACATGTAAAAAGTTTCTTTTTAAGAGCTTTGATAAACCACTCGCATAAAACCAGCAGTTTCACTGATGGACCCACTGAGTGCGACGTAGCCTGCAGATGAAGGCCGAGCACCTCACACTTCTTCAGGTCCCCGATGTTCAACGTCGGGTCAGTGCAATCTCTGCTTGTGGTTTCTCGCCAGTGACGTAAAAGGCCGGCTTCATCTGGAAAGGGCAGCTTCACATCTAAAGATCACAACAAGCAGTTTTCCCCACTTTTAACCAACTTGTCATCGACTTTGACTCCCACATGACACAAAGTGCTTCCACCTTCACGGCCTCGTCACAGAGGCAATCTCAGCACCACGGTCAAGTCCACAACGCTACCGAGTCAGCATGTTTCGATATTCTGAAACGCTGCCAGTCTGGTTTTGGGAATGTTGGTATTGCCTCTGTTGCTGTGGCGCCTGTTGCTGCTGCGCTAGTGGCTGTTGAATGTATCCCACAGTGCTTTGCTGTGGCACATTAGTGGTGTGTAAGAATGCTGGAGTAGATCCACCGTGTACGAGTCCTTGAGTCATCTGCAGACACAACAAGGAATATAAATATATTACAATAAGCAGACAGAATACTTTTTATCAAGTTTTATTTATAGAATCTAATGTTTGACTGCAGTGCAAACAGTGTACACATGAGGGCTGTCTCTGAATATCAGGACTTGCTCTGCATTAGGTAGAGGATTATATAAAATAGGTTTTGGTCGATAGTGGACTCTTTGTTAAGCCAAGCTGTGGAGCTGATTGTGAGCTGACTGTGAGATATTGGAAGAATATTGGAGAGGCACACCCCTGATGGTCATCAGTGTGACCACCTGTGACATTATTTGGGAGTAAGAGGTCAGCAGCTATGGTTAAGAATGCCTAATGTGGTCATTTCAAA